CTGTGCACTGTGCCAGGCCGTGCCCCCTGTCATGTGCCCCCTCCCTCTCTGAGTGTGAGCTTCGAACCAGCTGCACCCACAGACTGACTCTGATGTGAGGTTCCCAAGGTGGAGGAGCCACTCCCTGGGCCCAGTCTCCCAGCCCAGCTGTCCTACAGGTGAGCCCCACCCCAGGTGGATGCCAGGCCCCATCTCGCCTGAGCCCCTCTCCAGGCAACCACTACTCATGCTGCCTCCCTGGGCCCCTGCCACAGCCACTCACTTTCAACGGTTCCTTCTCAGAGGTCTCCCCTGCGGGGGCACTGCCTCGAGCCCTCCACTCTCTCTGGTCCATCGTGGAGTATCCATCTGTGGGGGCACAAGGGGGATCCTGAGGGGCAGGCCCCATGGAGCAGATCTCCGTCTGGCTGAGAGGGCACCAGCTTCCGTGCCCCAGCACCGTCCTGGAGGCCTAGGACAGGTCTTCCCATAGCTCCTCCTCCCGGCTCTCACCATCCCCTGCCTCAACCGCTCAGGCCTTGCAGCGGCTCATTGCTTCCCCTTGGCAGCTCAGTACCCCCACCCCCACCCCCACCCCCGCACACATGCACACACACACACACACACACACACACACAGCATAACCACCTGGCCCACGCCCCCTCCTCCCCACACAGGAAGCACGCAGCACTGCCCCTGCACTCACCTGGGCCAAGGGCCTCCATGGGGATCACATCCCGGCTGCCTGGCTTCTCACCATCTAAAAGGCACAAGCAAGGGGCTGGCTGGCTGCCAGCAGCAGTGGGGGGGGCCAGGGCAGATACACCCATGGCAGGGCTGGTCTCAGAGACCCTGGGTACCCTTCATCACTAACATCTTTGCACCCTTTTGCTGGGTCACTGCCCATTGCCAACCTCTTCCCACAACTTGGCACCAGTGTGAGTACCATGGTGGAGAGGATGTAAAAGGCTGTAAACAGGGAAAGGGGCCACCCTGAGGCCATTTTCCTGTAAGACGGCCCACCTCCCTCCTCCACGCCTCACCAGCCTTGTCACTATCGATGCACCGGGTGGAGAGGCTACGCCACCTCAGGGAGGGGTTCCCACACCCCAACCCGCCCGTCCTCACCCAGGCTCTTGTCCACCAGCGGCAGTGTGCTGTCATCAAACCCTCCGGGACTCAGTGCGCCCTTGGGCCCCTTGGCATTAGCAGCAGCTGACTGGAGGGGAGAGAGCGAAACAGACAGGGGTGGGGGTCAGGGGCACTCCGGCCGGGGACCCAGCCTGGCAAAGTGAGAAAGGAAAGGCTGTGCAGGCTGCACCTGGAAGCGTGCCTTGGTCCAGCCATCCCTCTGCAGGGCTCCACGCAGCTCCTTGTAGCTCCACACAGTCTGCAGCACGTGGGACGCAGCCTTCGCCTCTCGCACCGATTGGCTGTGGCCGGGCCCAGGACGGGGTCAATGCCCGGCCCCACCCCCGGACCTCCCTCCCCCGTCCCCACCCGCGTACCTGGAGGCGCCAAGGGCCACCAGCCCCTGGCACGCCACGGGCCTGCAGCAGCGAGCGTGCATTGTCCAGGCTGTCGAACACAATCTCGTGGATGGGGTTGAGCACGGCCACCCACAGTGTCCTCCTCCCAGGGGGCCCCCGGGTCGCGCTGAAGCCTGCCCATTGCGCACGTTTCCGGCACCAGCTCGG